TGGTTATCCGGGTCAACATATAGGATACTTTACTACAGCGGGAAAATATCCCATCTCTGACAAGTCTATAATAATTGCTAAAACGCAATTAGGGACGAACCCGAGCGGAGTTGTAAATAAATACATATAGCGGCTTGAAAACATAAAGACTAAGAGGTGTTTTTGAAGATTGAACACGGGCGTAGCCGCGGGCTCTAATAGTACATAATAAAGATATTCGCCATAATAACAGATTTTGTAAACATTTTAACTTGTTACGGTTTAAATTACTCAGGCTTAGTAATGTGACTCGAGGATCCGGTGCCGACCGGACCGGACGGATATAGAATCTAAAAGATTAATCAGATGACAAGCTCAAATATCCTTTATCCACCAAAAGAACAATTTTTGTGTGGAAAAGAGCTCAAGAATAAACTTATCTTGAGTCCCTTAGTTTTATTTGTTAGAAAGTAGCTACTGTTATTTTATATCTCTCTCTAATCATTTGGATAGTAAAGGAAGGACTTATCATGTCATACACATGAAGGCAATTTCGTGCTGGTAATGATACGGTGGTCGGTGTCACACTACAACTTGTTACAAGTTTCTTTGATATGTACCTTTAATGTGCGAGTATATACTTAAACGAATAATAAATAAGATGTGAATAAAATAACACGTAATAACAATCAACATATACCTATGTACGTATATTATGTAAATAACACAAAATGCTGTTCGTTAATGTTGACGATATTTGGATAAGATAGTTAAGCTTTTAGGAAAACATATTAGAAAAGTGTCCTTGAAACAACGAGATTATTATAGTGATAAAATTAAGTAAATAAGTATACGAATAAATAAAAATTGACAAATGTAGTACTTATTTATTTTGTAGGTAACTGGTATATATATGTTTATGATTTATTTATATATATATATATATATATATATATATATATATATATACTTATTATCTGCCCCGATTTAACCTCTGCTTTGAACTTAACTTATGAGTAATTTTGTCTATAACGAAATAGTTCACCTTCTTCGTTGATTTCTGTCGATGATGTCTAAAAAAGCACCCTGCCATTGTCTCCCCATGAATCAAGCTATCTAAAATCATTAATTCAAAAATAATCGATCCCGCCGTGAACTCAAAGCTGATAGATAGAAGGGACCTTGACCTTAACAGAATATAAACATAGTTATGTTTTTATGAAATATCATGTACTAGCAGAACCCGCGGATTTGCTAGCGTTAAAACTATAAAAACACCACTTTGGCTTTATGCTATTAGTAATAAGGTATGGGGAAGTCTGCTCGATTTGTTGACATTTATGTTTACTGCTCCGCTCCCTTTCGTAGGTAGCATGATGATATATGTATAGCCAATAGCCTTCCTCAATAAACGATCTATCTAATGCAAAAAGAAAAAATCAAATGGGATTAGTAGTTCCTGAGATTAGCGCGTTCAAACAAACAAACTCTGCCTCTTTATAATATTAGTATAGATAACAAATTAAGGCTTCATCAATAATGTACGTTTAATTATAGATACATATATCTTCTTCTTCTAGCCGGTTCGTTGCAGATGAAAAATAGCAAGAAGATAAATAATGTCCCAACATATTTATCTTCTTGCCATTTTTCATCTGCAACGAACCGGCTTTTAGGTAACATTCCAACTTCACCCTTAATCTTTTACTGAACAGACCAAAATATGCTCAATAAAAACATTCATACTGTAAAGGAATTCGGTCCGCAATTTTACGGTATATTAGTATATAAGTTGTTCTCAGGCGCAAACCACATTCAGTCACGTCGATTGACTTTTAAAATTTATAAGGTTCTTTATTACGATCATCCTATAAATATTCAGTAGTAAAACTGGTACTTTAACCTTAGTGCTATACTAAGAGTGCTTTGAATCGATATTCGAGTAAATCACGCTAACGTAAATATCTCGTCTGGCATCTAAAGACACTAGCTGTACACTCTAAATATTTTATACTAGCTAGTATATTTTATACTAGATACGTTTTAATGGTTAGTATGGAATAGATAGTCGATCCCTTGCTCTGTGGAAAACAAAAACAAATATATCCCACGGGAACCGTACATTTTTCTAGGATAAAAAGAACCTATGTACTATTCCAGGCTATAATCTATCTCTGTGCTTTTCATCCAGATCTGTTCAGCCGTTCTGGCGTGATTGAGTAACAAACATCAATGTATCCAAGCGTTCTTATTTATAATAATAGGTCTTTACCTATGAAGATGCCGTTTTACAATACTGGCCATTTATGAACGGCCGGCATAAAATTCTAAATTCAAATGAATTTTGTTTTAAAAGTATGGAGTTATATTTTCAAATTCAGTTATTTTTTCATTTTGTTAATTGTGGGTAGGCTGTCTGTAACAACTATACCTTCGAGACATGTAACACCTCAGTCTCTCCCGTGACCATGGATGCTGTAAAGCATTCGAAACGTCGGGAAACAAAAATCCAAATAAATCCGCGAAAAAATCCGAAAAGATAGATTTATTTAAAATTCAGTCATTTGTTTATCGATTAGTGTTATATTTTCACTACATTTGTATCTTTTTCATCAATATGGACCCTATAAAAATACCTATAATTATGGAATAGGTGCTAGTTCCGTCGCGGTAGCAATGCCGCACAAACGGCTCGCTACATAAATGACGTGTACGGAGTGAACATTACACGCTAACGTAGGACTCGTTATTGGTTTGGACGCTTCCGACATGAAAATTTTGATCTAAAAAATGAACTCCGTGGTGACCCGAAAACTAAAATCAACAACGAAGAATTAAAAGCGATAGTGGAAGCTGACGATACTCAATCTACGGCTTAGTTGGCAGCAGCTTTCAACGTTAGTATCAAAACAATGTTGGTTCATTTGCGCTAAATTGGCAAGGTAAAAAAACTTGATGAGTGGGTGCCGCACGTGCCGAACGTGTTGATTGATGCCTTGCGTTACTTAAGAGACATAGAAACGTTGTTTATACATACTTATAATAAAATGTATTTTAATATACGTATATAATTAAAGAAAATGGAAAATTTATTTTGTTTGACAATAACTGAGTGGTGGAAATCCGACTATAAACCTTATTGAATATTACATATGTATATGATTGGAATTTGTAAGTATGTGATAAGTGGAAGTTCTATGTTTGTCTATAGTATATTTAAAAACAAAAGGTTCCTAAATCAATGCACGGTGGTGTACAACACTTCTAGAGGTTTGATGTTGGTGGGCAGAGAGGAAAGGAAGTAGAGGATACAGGTAAGCTTGTAGCTACACACGACGTGTCGTGAAACGCAGAAAAGTTAAATCAGCTCTGAAAAAAGCCATTATATTGTCTGTATGAAACGAGAAGTAGTTCTGAAAATAACTGTTTATATGGGTTTATTTTTGTACTAAACTAAGTTTGTACGCGTAGCATGACTATAGATCCGTACGGCGCGAGCGCTGCGATGCAAATAGCATTCTGGGCGCATTTGCGACCTATATTTATAACTTGAGCGTTCCACGTTACCACCGTTTCTCAGAATACAAAAGCCAACCAAAAAAAAATAACCAATAAAAATCTTAGTATTATTTAAAATGCGATTGTTCGTAAATATGAATGAGAGAAAAATAGCGAAACTGGATTTTGAGAAACGGCACGCTCGGGTGATCTCGCGCAGACGGCGAAGTTATAAATATAGGCCGCAAACCCGCGCGGAACACCATTTGCTTCGCAGCGTTTGGCCAGGGATATACTTTGTCTAGACCCGCTACGGTCTTGTTACGCGTAGTAATAGACTCTCACAAAAAATCTTTTCAGAACTATTATATTAATATTTGTTTCATGTGTATGACGTTAAGGAATTTAGTTTCTTCGGGTGGCTACTGTATATTAGTTTTACACGCAACTAAGGAATAGTATAGATAGACTGAGTGTAGAACTAATCATGAAGTCAAACAATAATGTCAATGTGTATAGTTATGGACATTTATTGTGAATAGTTACAATTGAAAATTAAATTATTTAATCTTTGAATATCTATTTTCGTACATTTTTAAGATTAGATACCTAATTATAAAAATATTTTTCTATGGACAGACATTCGACCTTTACAGTTTTATTATAGTATAGATTAAAATAGGTATTGCCAGTGAACCTTAGGAGATAGACATATGCTATTTTAGGTCTAGTGTATCATTTTGGTATATCTCTTAAGGCTTAGCCAACTTTAGCCAAATAAGGACGACTTGATCGAACATTACAAATTTTATATAAGAAATCTTATATAAATTACTTCAAAAACTATAACAGTTATTATTTTCTTAAAATAAATATTTAAAAATTTCGAAATTTGTATTTTTTTTGGAGGTTTCTAGAAACTTGTTTTTTTTTATTTACGGATTTTCAAAATAGCAGTAATTTTGAATGAGCAAACTTTTTAGTTTATGGTAATAAAAACCCAAACAAAAAAAAAATCAAATTCATTCATTATAACTGGATTAAAGGTAGAGTCAGGGATCTCTTCCAGACAAGGTATAGAACTGGGAAATAGTGATAATTATTTTTTAATAAAAATATACATCGATTTCAATTTAAATTTAAAATTAATTCCACCGTTAGAAGCGCATATTTTTATTTAAATCAATATTACTCTTGAAGTATACAATTAAATATATATTCATTTAAAAGGCATAATGAAAATTGGTCAACAATTTGCAAAGATATTGCGTATCACACAAAATAAAAAACATACACCCAAATAAAAACAATATTTAAAAAAATATTAAGAACATAAAGTGTTTTATTCTCCATATAGAGAATAACACCACGGTAATGTTATACACATTACCGTGATAACACTCACGATACACACAGTATCCCCCCCATTTCTAGTTATCGCAACTACACAGAGTTGCGCGTCAACACACGCTATATAAACCGACAGATTACAAATCCTATTCAAAGCAATACAACCACTCAAAATGACCAAAGTCAACAAGAGCAGAACACGATCTTCTCGAGCCGGCCTTCATTTTCCAGTGGGTAGGATTCACAGCATCCTTAGAAAAGGGAACTACGCACCTAGGGTTGGTGGAGGCGCTGCAATATACTTAGCTGCAGTATTAGAATACCTTTCCGCTGAAATTCTGGAACTTGCAGCTGAAGTCGCGAAACAAAACAACAAAACCAGGGTTACACCTCGACATATACTTTTCGCCATTAAAAACGATGAAGAATTGAACAAAATGCTAACCGGTGTTACCATATCTCAAGGTGGTGTATTGCCAGCTATAAATGCTCAACTTCTACCCAAAAAGACCGTGAAAAGACTAGAATAGAATGGACTGGATGATACAGAAAATAATTTGAAGATTTTAAATAATATATTTTTTCGTAATTAATTTATTCACATGAAACCAAAGTCCTTTTCAGGACTGCATATTTACTTAAATATGTTTCATCGACAACGTCTTACTAGTAACTAAATTATACTTTATAATTCTAAAAGAAATACATTTAGCACTTATCAGTTCATTTTTTTTTTCTAGAAGCGTAAAATGAAAAATTATAATTGTAAAATACACACGTATGCCTTGGATGAGCATCGAACTCACGACCTTAAGATTATGAGACTTACGGGCTGCCTACTGCACCATCGAGGCTCTTACAATTTTACTATAAATAGGTTCAATCAAACACACATTATTATGTAAATTAACGTCAACTCTTTATTGTCTACTTATTTTTTTTATTTTTTTATTTAATAGGTATTGACGAGCATTAGTATGATGAATGAAAAAAAAATGGCAACCGTTTTCTTTATATATGTAGGTAAATTCTATTTATATTAATATTCCTCAAATTTTCAATAATAATTACGGCCGGATTTCGAGCACTTAATACTATTACTTTAGTAGCATAAAACAAAAGAAGATAAGTCGGATTGTACCTAATATATTTTATGTTGTTTTATATTATAATACAGTAATAATAAGATTAAATTTAATTTATCTTTTTTAAACAGTATATATTTTTATAGTTCATACTTACTTCTGTTCACATCTTAGAAGACATCATTTGTCTGATTGTATACTTTAGAATAATAATTATAATTAAGCTTGTTTATTTCATTTGTATGTTGGTTTTGTAAACTTATAAATAAATAAATGTGCGTAATATTGGTTACATAGTATAAATAAAAAATATATAAAAAAATATAGCTCAAAAATGTATAGATATAGAACAAACATTACCAAAATAAATATAAAATTAAAACATTTTATACCACATTAGACGTCTTTCAAGAAACAATAAAATTGCAGCCCTGAAAAGGGCTTTGTCAAAATTCCCATCAGAAGCTCACGCCCTCTCGCCCCTCACCCTCCGCGCCAACTGAATGTCCTTCGGCATAATCGTCACCCTCTTCGCGTGAATCGCACACAAGTTGGTATCCTCGAAGAGACCCACTAAATATGCTTCACTCGCTTCCTGCAAAGCCATCACTGCAGAGCTTTGGAATCTTAAGTCCGTTTTGAAGTCCTGAGCTATTTCTCGAACTAGACGTTGGAAGGGCAGTTTTCGTATGAGGAGCTCCGTACTCTTTTGGTAACGTCGGATTTCTCGTAAAGCAACAGTTCCTGGTCGGTATCTATGGGGTTTCTTCACCCCGCCTGTAGCGGGGGCACTTTTTCGTGCTGCTTTGGTAGCTAACTGCTTTCTAGGCGCCTTGCCGCCGGTTGACTTTCTTGCGGTTTGCTTGGTACGCGCCATGTTGTTGACTGGTTGATGTGTGAGGATTTTGAGCGTATTTATAGTATTTTTTGTTACTGTTTTTTGTAAACTACCCTTGATATAAAAAAAAATAAAATCCAAGTATCGTGTTTAATGTTATATTTTACAAACATTGTGTCGTTTTTTTTTGTAACGTATGTTTATACAATATATTTTTATAGATGATGAAGCATGTTTTTTTTTAATTGTAATGAAAAATTATCGAACATAACGTTTCTGTTGAATGCAACATTAAAAATTTCATTAGTATATTATGTTATTAAAATTCTAGTGACGATTTTAAAATAGTGAATACTTCTTTATTTAAAACCTGCTTGGAATGTTAAAAATATACTTCCTAAGAAAATATCAGATTAAGTTACATTGTCATATAAAAGTTTACCAATTATGGCATTTATTCTAGAAAATTATAACAAATAAATAACATTTGATTAGTTATCAAAATTCGGTTGATTGTCTTTAAAAATATGTATGCTCTAATCTACATCTACACTACTATTATAAAGAGGAAAGATTTGTATTTTTGTATGTTTGTAACGAATAAACTCTAAAACAACTAGACTGATTTAGATGAAATTTGGTAAGAAGATAGTTTGAGACCCTGGGAAGGACATAGGATATTTTTTATTCCGGAATCACCATCATGAATAGTACAAAATAATTGGATTTATATCATTAGCCTCATTTATATTTGAATTTCAGTATATCTTTATATAATTATAATTAGACTATAAGAACTACTACTGTTAAGAAGCTACACAATTCGAATGTACATATTATATGTATGTACATCGATATCGAGTGTATGGTATTTAATATATGAAGTTTAGCCAATAGAACTAAAGTACAAGTTATGTGGCAAACAAACTTCTTTGAAAATATAAACGTTACCGTTCACAAAAATCCTCTTATAAATACATAGATTAAAACAGCTCAGTACCTTTTTTTCTTCTGTTCTTCAAATGATTATCTTTTTTTTTCTTTCTTTTTTTTTGTAGCTATTTACGAGCTTGAGTGTTTTCAATTATCCATAATAAATGATTATATTCGAATTTCTGCCAACGAGCGAACATTAGTTAACATTAATACATACATACATACTCGTACATACGTCGAGAGAAAACTTTGCACCCATTTTGAAGCATATAGCGCATATGATCTTTGGCTTAGTTACGAGTACTATTACATGGAATAAGTAGGACGACAGAAAGCTAACGTTTAATAACATAGTTTTGCCCCTAGCTCCGCTCGCGTAGTTTATTTATAACCGCTTTTTAAAACTATCCCGTGATGTTACATAGCTAATAACATTTAATTTTATATTAATATATAAAGCTGGAGCATTTGTTTGTTGGTCGGCATTTTATAGTCAATATATTGAATAAGCTATCTATGTAACTTTGACAAAAGAATCTCAATATCGTTGAATATTGTCGATTTTAGAACACGAGCTAGTATGACTAAAATATCCTTATTGAGAATATATTATTTAACAAAATAATATTTTCATAATATTAAACTAAGAAATTATTTGGTTATCTTTATATATATAATTCTTCTGTGAGTGTGTATGTCACTGAACTTCTCTCAAACGACTGGACCGATTTTGATGAAATTTTTTGTGTGTGTTCAAGGGGATCTGGGAATGGTTTAGATTCACAATTTGAATAATAATTTTCATCAAAAAAATTATTAAAAAAAGTTTGAAATTTTCAAATTAAAGACGTGTAGACAGGACAACGTCTGTCGGGTCCGCTAGTTAATATATAAAGCTGGAGCATTTGTTTGTTGGTCGGCATTTTATAGTCAATATATTGAATAAGCTGTCTATGTAACTTTGACAAAAGAATCTCAATATCGTTCAAACTTAATGAATATTGTCGATTTTAGAATACGAGACGATCGCTAGTATGACTAAAATATCTTTATTGAGAATATATTATTTAACAAAATAATATTTTCATAATATTACTCTAAGAAATTATTTGGTTTTCTTTTAATAAAATGAGACCGTGTACTTATAATTATTCGATATAGGAAACAAATAGAAATATCTATAAGTACTATCTATCTATATATGAAGAGTTTGTTTATTTTTGAAAACCGAAGTTTTACATTGAAGAGCCTATTTATTAACAAAGTTTACAGGCTATCTAATATGACGTCTTACCTGAATATGGTCGGAGGCGCGGGCAAATGCTAGTATAATAAATATTAAACGTAATGCTTCTTTATTTAAAAAATAAAAACAAATATATTTAAACTTGAATTACACGATTTCTTCTACACCGCATTATGATTGGCTCAATCTTGCCATCTCCTTCAATATGCTACAGTTGTGCGTCCATCAAAAGCGACTTAAAGTTCTCTTTGGAGGAAAATACATCAGAAACTAAGAAGAGAGTCCCCACAACAGTACAAAAGAAACCAGCGAACACAACACTTATTAAACAGCGTATAAAAATAAGAGTAGTGAACAAAATGGTACCAAAAAAACCAATGCCGAAGACCAATAAGGACATAATAGAGAAACCGATAAAGAAAATACGGAAGATGAAGAAGAAGAATTATAAAAGTTTTTCCATCTACTTGTATAAGCTACTTCGGAGTGTTACCAAGGATACTTTCGGTATTTCTACACGGTCTATGTTAATTATGAACAATTTTGTTAATGATATGATGGAAAAAATAGCAGTGGAAGCTGGAAGGTTGGTGGCTCACGGAAAGAAGACGACCATGGGGAGTAGAGAGATACAGACCGCGACAAAACTCTTAATCCCGGGCGAATTGGCAAAACATGCAAATATAGAAGCTATGAAAGCCATAATGATGTTTCAGAGAAGCCAAGACCAAGACGATTCTTCAAAATGAGGATTAAATTTAGAAAGTTTATTAATTTAATTATTTATTATTGATTTTATTTAAAAAGGCCCTTTTCAGGGCCAACATATATTTTTGTTTCGTTTGCGAGACGTCTTTTTTATTTAGATTATTGAAATTTCATATATACCCAAGTGGAGTATTAAATGAAAACGCATGACATGTATATTATAATTAGACATTTTTATCAAAATCGGTTCAGCCATTTTAGACATGGGAGTGAAAGTGGTGATGACACAAACAAAAACACAAACAAAAACCTCTAAAAAGTAAAAAAAATAAAATTTCTCTCTTGGCCTTTTAACTTTATCAGAAGTATGTTGATGATGAACATCGCCGCGTCGGGGAACCGCTAATAAAATTTATACCAGAACACAAATAAAAAGAAGATTGAAGTAAAAAGGCCAAGAGAGAAATTTATTATTTTGACTTTTTAGAAGTTTTTTTTTTGTGTTGGGGGTTACTTAAAATTTTTAATTTTATTTTTGTCAAAATATTTTCGGTGGGATAATAAATTTCTATTACTTTTGTATAATATAAGGCAAACTTAACACTTAAAAATAAATATGGATTTGCATATGATTTTGCAACCCTTTAGGCCATAGGGTATTGTGTTTGTATGATCGTTTTCATAATTGATCGTGAGCAAAGTCGCGTGTATAGCTAGCATACGGTTTTAAGATGCTTTATTTATTTCTCAAATTAATAACATTTACTTATTGAGAAAAATTTACAAGTAGGTAGTTGAATATTATTTACGTCGTGATTTTTGAGTAACAACTTAATACAAAACAAAAAAGATGGTATAAGTACACATACATCAAAGACGAGTTCATTGAGTAATAAGATTTGTACAAAATTTATATATTTAGTCAAATAATATCATTTTTACATAATATTGAGGGTAGAACGGTGTTACAACTAGAATGCTTACGTACCTAATTGGTAAACACAAAGATATAAAGAGCTTGTTACTAGAAGAGATACGGATAGAATTTAGTAATAAGTTTAATAATAAAATGCTAAGTATCAAATTATAATTATATAATATATTAAGTTTATATTGTATTTAAAATAGATTAAATAAAAAAAATGAATATATATATATATATGTATATATATATATTTATATATATATATATATATATATATATATATATACAACTAAACTAAAAATCTAAGTATTTCATTCAAGTTTTTTTTATTATTTGTTAAATTATAGGTACCTATGTTGTTTAACACATGATTTTTTAAAAGTGTTATGAATTTATTAAATGGTTTTGTTTCTATTACATTTGATGGTAATTTATTAAATATTTGAACGCCTTCATAATACATGTATTATATTAAGTTGGCCGTACTTGGTTGACCTGGGTTCAAGAAGGGCATTGAAAAATTACAATGTGCTGGCAGAGATGTATCGATAGCATGGGTGCATATTTTGATTGATAGAAATAAAATAATATATAAAAATGACTAACTTTCTGTATATTAAACGGCAATTTCATAGGTAAAGATCTAATATTAATGGGATTAATAATAATGGGAATAATTGATAAAAATGTACATAATCTTGCAATGATAGCTCAGTGGTAAGTAATGCATTTGCCTGGACACCACGAAGCGAGTTTAATTCTCAGGTCTTGCACCTCTGATATTCTTATGTGTAAAATTTTTTACAGGGTTACTACTTGCCTTACTGGCTTCGCCCGCGTTCAGATGACCAAAAACCAGATTCTTAGGTTTTACATATTAGTATACTCTTACATTACAGTTTTGTATTTTTTCTCAGAAATGAGGTATTTTACGGCGGTACAAAGTATTCTATATGTTGACCCAGATAACCAGCTATCACCATACCAAATTTCATCAAAAACCCTCTAGTCGTTTTTCTGTGATGCGGTAACAGACAGACTGACAAAAATTCAAAAAACTATAGATTCGGCCTCTGTATCGATAATTATGTTTATTTCAATAAGATTTTCCAAAAAATAATTAATGTACAGATTCGGCTTTGTTAGAATTTTATTATATGTAAAGATGTTAAAGAAAAACTAGATAAAGAATTATAGATGACTTTAGATGTTTTATTATTCCAATTTTCAAAATTTAAAACTCAATAAGTCCAATTTATATTTAATATATATTACATACAAACAGACAAAATCTCTTTATAATAGTGCAAAAGTAATTATGTGAAACACTCAAATTCAAAACAAAAATCTATTGTTATACTTTATGAATACATATTTAAGTTAAGGGTACTTTAAGAAAGAAATATTCAACTTTTTTTTATCATTTCACGAAGTTACAAAACTAATATAAAAGCGGTAAAATATTAAAATGTATGAAATATGAATATTATCTAACTCCAAGTTTTCTGCAATATAATAACACTTTCTCAAACTTATTATTAATTTTCTGAAACTTATGATTAAATTGCATTACGTATTTATTATCGATTGTGGACTTGAGATTATTCTTATCACACTGTAGGTAATATATGATATATATACTATATAACACTCGCAGACCCCCCGGCTTTGCTCGCGCTAAAACTGCAAAAAAAAAACTCTAAAAAGGTAAGTTTCATACAAAGTTTCATCCCCTATTTTACCCTTTTGTGGGGTGAATTTAGAAAAATGCTAAAACACATATTTATTTAATTGTATTCAAGAGCATTAACACCAAGTTTCAAGTAAGTTTGATCAAAAATATGTTTTTTGAGTTGTATTGTAACGTGTTTTCCCGTGTTAAAGAGATAATCTCCCGCTGTAAGTAGTTTATGTCAATCTCAACTATCTCCACACAAAATATCACGCCGATCCGTCACTCTGTTTTGACGTGAAGGAAGGACAAATAAACAAACAAAGAAACATACTTTCACATTAATTATAATAATAGTATGGATGTCTGCTAAGGACACCATTATAAAAACAAAAGGCAAAACTGCCGCCCATCTTTAGCCAACGGTTTTATACTACGAGATAGAATTTACTCAATATTTAAAACTACGAATGTAAACAGCGATTACTGTTCTCCAAAAATAAAAACAAATTTAGAACTAGATATTTTATGGGACTGTAGAAATATAAAAGAATAGATATAATTAGCAATTTTTTATCAAATTGACATAGGTTTTACTTACAGAGCAGTTTTTCAGAAGTAAGGAGAAAAGTGAATCCTTTGCTTACACGTTATTTGAAAGCTACAAGTCACAGTACAGAGGGCGTTACAATATGTCACTACATCCTGATATATTTTAATAAGTTTATAACCAATATATTATGAAGCTATTAATTATAAATCAGTCTTAAAAATGCATAGATTTTATTTAGACTATTTTGCAAATAAAACGATGAGTAAAAAGTTTTGTAACAATTAATGAAGTTAATCAAATGACAATCAAATGAATTGTAAATATTATAATCTAAAAGATTTAAGTAAGGAAGTAAGATTAAAAATATTGAAATTAATTTATTGAGTAATAAAAACAATATTCATAGTTATTTCAATCAAAATAAACACTTAATTTAATTAACCGAATATAGTCAGTACTACATTCGTTATAGATGGCGCTACAGTAGAGGTGGCGTTACAATATCCCGAATCCCATAAATAACTTTAGAAATCACTTATTTTGAACTTAATAATGACAAAACAATATCCTAAAATTACATAAGATTTAATAAAACTAAGTTACAAATAAATTTAAATTATAATTATTTAAACCTGCTATAGGTGTAAATAATATCCCCTCCCCCACCCCCCTCCCCCCAACGTGCGTTCACCTTGTCGTGGGGGGGGGGGGGCTCAGTAGTGCCCGGCAACCCAACCGGGCGCAAAGCCAAGAAACGCACAGGGAGGTGGCCCACTTCGGTGGGCGGTGGGAGGTGGCCCTCTTCGGAGGGCGGTGTACCATGCGGGTTGCTCCTGGTACTTCTCTGATAGCAGAGTGGACCTTGGAGTAACCCCATGGTTGTGGTGGTCTGCTTCGGCAGACCTGCCGTCGGGGCGTCGTAGTTGAATGCGTAAGCGATCCTGCGACGCCCCATTAAGACGGAGGATTAAAAAAAAAAGGTGTAATTAATATTCATAATTACTTATAATAAATAGAAAGTCTTTTAATTAATCGACCGAATAAACTTCGTATCGACTGGCAGTATAGATGGCGCGTTACAAAGCAGTTACATCTAATATAGAGGGCGTTACGAGATCCTAATCTATACATATAATAAAATTGTAACTAAGCCGAATCTGTACATTAAATATTTTTTGAAAAATCTTATTGAAATAAATATTATTATCGATATAGAGGCTGGATCTACAGTTTTTAGAATTTTTGTCTGTCTGTCTGTTACCGCATCACGGAAAAACCACTATTGTAGCTGGTTATCCGGGTCAACATATTATAGGATACTTTTTACTGCTGGAAAATATATCATCTCTGAGAAATCTATACTAAACTTAAAACGTAAGTAACATTAGGTGGGTCCCTAGTATACAATATGTATATTGTACATACTACATGTACTATATGTATTAAAGACCCTAACAATTTCCAAGAGTTACCTGGTCATTTTCGATAGATTCATGGTCCATGGATATATTATTTGTATTTACTTTGAACGTCTCTGCAAACCTTACTGCATTGATTCGGATTCGTCTATATTTCGACAAACATCAGTGGGTCTTAATCTAAGTATATTTCGACTAACTGCATTGCTTTTAGACATTATAAAATAAAATAAAATGAAATAAACTTTATTCAATTAGACTTATTACAAGCACTTTTGAAATTCAATTTAAATTTAATTTAGGCGTCAGTGTAGTCAGTCCGTGAGGAAGCTACCACCAGAAACTCAACAGTAGCTCTTTTAAATATCGAAGTTACATTTATTTTATTAACATAAAAATATAGATAACCGCATAAGAGTCAATATTTTTCAATTCCACACATTTCCATCAACAAGAATTAAAGCAAAAGC